ATAACTAGTGACTATTCTTATGGTAAATGTTCTCGTTGACTTTGGCTTCCTTTGTAAAGTAAAGTTGCAGCTAATTTACGTCCCACTGCTGGGAACAGGCCTCCTCTCATTTCTGAGAGGGTTTTGGGCAAGGAAATGTCCGCCGCGCTGCCCCAATGCGTGTTGGCGAACTTCACATGTCTTCGAAATATATTTTTTTCTTATTTCTCAGACATGCAGGTTTCCTCACGATGTTTTTGTACACCGCCGAACACATAGTAAATCAGCACTTAAAATTGCAATTAACAATTTCATTGGTGCCGGCGGGGATCGAACCCGGGTTGCTCGCGTACTGTGAAGCTTTTATGAACTTTGTATTTTTAGAAATTAAACCAAATAATATGTCTTGACCAGTGGTTCTTAACTGGTGGTCCGTAGACAACTGATGGTCCCTGAAGGCACCGGAAATGGTTCGCGAGAGCATCACACAATAATCTTACATAAAAAATATACAACATTATTGGAGGTGTTGTTCGGTGTGCAGATACAGCCGATGCAGTTTACAATACAATGTGTTGAGCGCTGTCTAGTTGTTAAATAAATATCCACATTATTGTAGATTAAACTAATATCAATTCATTGTAAACAGATAGCTTCATAGTTTCCAACAACATTTAACACGGTATACAGTACGATTATTTTAGTTATAAAAACTCTCCATAGATGGCGCTATCCCTTTGTAAATCGCGCAACCAATTGATTCTCTTCGGAATCACAAGTTAAATATTATGTTATAGAAATAAATGTTCTGATCTCATCAATGAATGTTGGTGTTTTATTCATGGGCCTTCGGAGCCGGATGTAGAGTGAAGTGAACCAGTGAGCAGTGGCGACACCTAGCGGTTGGTGATTTATACGGAGCAGAGCAGCAGACGCAACTGAGGAGAGCAAGTTTGTATGGGCGTAAAACTGTAAGTACATTTAAATCAGTATTGGCAATAGAAGTTTGAAATTGAAAATAAATTGAACCTTAAAGCAAAGAGATATTCAACTTAGAAAAATTTGAAGATTTATTGGTAGTACATGGACTTGTAAAATTTTATGTTGAATTGTGGTTGAGACGGGGAATCCATGCCCGATTTTGCCTAAGTGTGTACAACCCAAACACTTAGAAAAATCACGCACATACTGGACATAGAAAAAATAACTTGCTCTATCCACTCAACGGGACTTGTAAAAAAAAATTGTCATATTTCAAATAAATAAAGGTAATAATGGAAAGCAAAATAAGAGCTCAGTCAGATATGTACCACCGAATAGAAAATGCCAGAGTCAATTTTAAGAAATCTCCAAAAGATAGGCTAACTTCAAACTACATAGAAACTAGAATTGATATTTTGAATGGACAGTGGGAAACATTTAACAAAGTACATGAACAACTTATTAGTGAAGTTAGTGATGCTGATTATGCAGAGTTAGATTACTTTAACGAGGATTTTTACACCAAAACAGAAGACTTATACGCAGATTATAAAACAGAATTAAAGGCAAGCTTGGAAAAATGTACTCGCGTACCGACCAAAACGCAGGACACGTTGCGTAGCAATGAAGAACAAATTAGTGTGCAGCTTCCAAAGATTTCTATTCCTAGTTTCTCCGGAAGGTACTCAGAGTGGACCACGTTTCGTGACCTCTTCTTATCACTCATTCACAATAATAATTCGTTACAAAAAGTGCAAAAACTTCACTACCTAAAAAGCTATTTAACCGGTGAAGCGGAACAACTATTGCGAAATCTACCAATAACAAGTGACAATTATTCAGTGTGTTGGGATCTTTTGGAGAAAAGATTTAACAATAAGAAATATGTAACTAACTGTATTTTAAAAAGGTTTTTTAGCCAAAAAAATATTATTCATGAAAATTCAAGTGCTCTTAAAGAAATGTTTGATACTACTAACGAGTGTTTAAATGCGTTGAAAAATACTGGTGTGAACACTGAAAATTGGGATATTATTGTGATTTATCTTTTGTCCTCAAAATTAGATAGTGAATCTCGCAAGCAGTGGGAAGCAAAAATTTGTGACTGTACAAACGACTTGCCCACATTAAACCAATTTTTAGAGTTTTTAGAACACAGGTACAGATCACTCGAATTTTTGAATCCTAAAATCACAAAATGTACTCAATCCCATCATGTAGCCACAAAAAATAATGACAAGATATCTGTTCCATGTTCCTACTGTTCTGCTAATGATCATAAGCTCGGAAATTGTAAGAAGTTCGCAAATGAAACTCTATTAGCACGCCGTAACTTTGTCCAAACCTCCAACTTGTGTTTTAACTGCTTAGGCGCAAATCATTCGGTCATAATGTGTCGTTTGCCCACCAGATGTAGAATTTGCAAAAAGAAACACCACTCGCTATTGCATTCAACCACCACCAACGTTCAATCAAATAATGTAAAGGTAACCACTCAATCGAATAGTAACAATGTTGTCGCGGCAACAGCGACAGCATCAGACGAAAATGATCAGACCAACATTACCACTTGTTTCTCTGACAACAAGAGTCAAGTGCTTTTAGCAACCGCTTTAGTAAAAGCTGAAACAAATAACGGATCTTTTATGACACTTAGGTCTTTACTGGACCAAGGATCACAGGCTTCGTTTATAACGGAGTCTGCAGTCCAATTACTTGGGCTGAAGAAGGAAACAAGCAAAAGTGTCATATTTGGAGTAGGGAGTGAGTGCAACTCTAAACATGTAGTACACATCAAACTACAATCGATCCATGATCCAACCTTCAACATTAAAGTGAGTGCACACGTGCTCACCAAACTTACCACATTTCTTCCTGAACGACAGGTTGACATACAGCTATATTATATGCCAAAAATGAGATTGGCAGATCCAAATTTCAACGTTCCAAACAAAATAGACTTGCTGTTGGGTGCAGAGGTCTATTGTCAAATATTATTAGAAGGGTTATTTAAAGGTCCAATAGGAACCCCTATAGCGCAAAACACTAGATTCGGCTGGATTTTGTCGGGCCAAGTATCTAAAGGTCGTAAAACGGAATCAAGCTGTAGTAACTCCGTAACCACTTTACACACTCAAGTTATCGAAGAAGAATTTGATCTTAAACAATTTTGGGAAATCGAATCTGATCAATGTCTTCTCAACAAAACTCACCACACACCTGAGGAACAAAGATGTGAGGAATTCTATAAGAAAACCACCAAAAGAGACCCTTTAGGACGATATATCGTCAAACTACCATTCAAGATGGAAAACCCGAGCTGCAAATCAGGGAATTCGCGGGAAATTGCAGTGAGCAGATTCCTTATGCAAGAAAAGCGTTTAGTACGGTCACCACAGCTTAAAGATCTCTATTCCGACGTTATTGATGAGTACCTGGAACATGGCCACATGGAAAAGGTACCAAAAGATGAGATCAACAAATCAGATAGTGTGTACTTACCTCATCACGCCGTAGTGAATCTTAACAAGACAACATCCAAACTGAGAGTTGTCTTCGATGCTTCGTGTCGCGATAACAACGGTGTATCTCTCAACAGTGAATTGATGATAGGTCCAACTCTTCAATCGGATCTGCGTCACTTGGTGATGAGATGGAGACTTCACCCTGTATGTTTGGTCGCCGACATAGTTAAAATGTACCGCCAAATATTGATTTCTAGTGAAGATATAGATTACCAGCGATTGGTTTGGCGAGCCACGACGGAACAACTTATTGAACATTTTCGATTGTTGCGAGTCACATTTGGCACTGCTGCAGCCCCATACCTCGCAGTTAGAACACTGCACCAGCTCGTGTATGATGACGGAAAACCGTTTCCATTAGCATCTGAAAGAATCTTAAATGATTTTTATATGGATGACTTACTTACTGGCTGCGAAACAGTCCTGGAAGGAAAACAAATCTATAAAGAGATCAACGAATTACTGAGCAAAGGGGGGTTTGAACTTCAGAAATGGTCAAGCAACAATGAAACTCTGTTAAAGGAAATAAGCAAAGAAATAGAAACAACAGAAAGCAATTTGGAACTCAAAATAGATGAAATCATTAAAATACTCGGACTTACCTGGAATCGACGTACCGACAACTTCGAATACTCCGTGCAGCTACCGCCACTCGTAGAACCTATAACAAAAAGAAAGGTTATATCAGATATTGCAAGACTGTTTGATCCTATGGGATGGATTGCTCCAGCCATTATAAAAGCAAAAATCTTCATTCAACAGCTGTGGCTAGCGGGAATCGGTTGGGATGAAGAGCTCCCACCGAAACTACTCAATGATTGGATTTCTTACCGAGGTGAACTTACGGCACTTACACAATTTCGTCTGCCGCGCTGGATTGGTATGAACAAGACATGTATGAAACTGGAGTTACACGGATTCAGTGACGCCTCTGCGGATGCGTATGCTGCTGTAGTTTACGCTCGCGTGGTAGATGAATCTGGAACTGTCAGGGTTACTCTCATTACGTGTAAAACTAAGGTAGCCCCAATAAAGCAAGTGTCTATCCCGAGGCTAGAGTTGTGCGGCGCCGTTCTTTTGGCGAGATTATTAAGGGAAGTCTCTGAAGTTTTGAAAGTACCGAAGACAAATCTACATGCATGGACGGACTCCACAATCGTTTTGGCTTGGTTGAGCAGTCATCCAAGCCGCTGGAAGACGTTCATTGCAAATCGAGTTTCAGAAATTTTGAACATTTTGAACAGAGATCAGTGGTCACATGTGTCATCTACTGACAACCCGGCAGATTGCGTTTCCCGTGGAGTCAACCCGTCGGAATGTGAAGCAATTCCCCTCTGGAAAGCTGGACCTGCATGGTTAAAGGACACGAATATGGAATATGACAGGAAGGAGTTAAGCGACACGGATTTGGAAGAGAAAGGAAAGAAAGTTTGTCATGTGACCAGGGAAGATGAATTTGAATTATGAATTAAGTTTTCGTCTTTACAAAAATTGACCAGAGTTATAGCTTATTGTTTGAGATTTATATCAAAGACGAAAAAATCTACTGAAGCAACAACATTTCCGAGTTGGTTAACTTACAGAGAACTATCAAGAGCAATTCAAATCAGCATAAAGGCGTGTCAAGCTACGTACTTTGCACAGGAAATCAAAGATATTAAGTTTAGAGGTGCAGTTAATAAGAAAAGCAAACTTACCACTTTGACCCCTCTCCTGGACGGCGAAGGAATTTTGAGAGTTGGTGGTCGTCTTGAGAGAGCTGATGTAAGTGATGATAAAAAACACCCGATTATCCTGCCATCGAAATCGCATTTCACAAATCTTATCATTGCAGATGCCCATCAAAGAACCCTACACGGAGGTCCTCAATTGATGATCAATTACCTACGATCCAAATATTGGATCCTCGATGTAAAAAATCGTACCAAATTATTTGTACGCAAATGTGTCACATGTATACGATATGCAGCACAATGTAGACACCAACTCATGGGACAACTACCTGTAGCTCGGGTCACTCCAATCCGCCCATTCTATCAAAGCGGCGTGGATTATGCTGGACCCATCCAGATAAAGACTTCTAAAGGAAGAGGTCATCGAGCGTACAAGGGATATATATGCCTATTCGTATGTATGGCTACAAGAGCCGTACATTTGGAAGCCGTAACCGATCTTACGTCACAGGGATTCCTTGCAGCCTTCAAAAGGTTTGTTTCTAGACGTGGCCATTGCGCTGATCTCTACAGCGATAATGGGACAAATTTTGTGGGTGCTGCGCGCGAGCTAAGAACCCTAGTAGCTCAGGAAAATTCAACCATGACGAGAGAAATCGCTGAGAGTTTAGCTACTGCTGGGACCAACTGGCATTTTATCCCACCGAGAGCTCCTCACTTCGGTGGACTTTGGGAGAGTGGGATAAAGTCCACAAAACATCACCTGAAGCGTGTGATCGGCACAGAGACCCTAACTTACGAGGAGATATCTACTCTGCTGTATCAAATTGAGGCATGTCTTAACTCTAGACCGTTGTCACAGGTTAGCACCAATGCACAAGATCCAACACCGCTCACACCGGGACATTTTATCATCGGTGAACCCTTGGTGCTTGTCTCAGATGCCAATTATGAAACTTCGTCAATATCTTCTCTGAAACGCTGGCAACTAACCCAGAAAATGTTACAGAACTTCTGGCGAAGGTGGTCTAGCGAATATTTGACTCAGTTTCTGCAACGTCACCGGTGGGCAAACCAAACACCAGAGCCTAAAATTGGGGACTTAGTTTTAGTTAAGGAGGATGATCTTCCTCCAGCGAAATGGCTTATGGGTATTATTATAGAAAAACATAAGGGTGTGGACAATATTACGCGGGTTGTGAGTCTCAAATGCAAAGATGCCATAATTAAAAGGCCTATTGTAAAATTGTGTGTCTTGCCAGTGGCAGAATAAGGCCTACTTTTTTATTCTCTTTCGTGTCAGTCAATGCTTGACTCGTTTATTGTTATTTTCAAGCTTAAGTTGTTTTTTGTTTGGTGAAATGAGCATGTTGTAAATGTAAATGTTTAAATTAAATATCTTTGGATTCTTTATTTAATAAGATTTCTAGGATTTTAAAGATCCTATTTACCTATTTGTTTTTTGTTACCTATGCACCATGATTCAACCATTTGGATCTACCCACTTTCATATTTTACCTTATCTATTTACAGTCCACTTTCGTTGATTGTTGATTCATGGTGGGCGGGAATAATGACCATTCTGGCCATGGTGGGCGGAATGTCTAGTTGTTAAATAAATATCCACATTATTGTAGATTAAACTAATATCAATTCATTGTAAACAGATAGCTTCATAGTTTCCAACAACATTTAACACGGTATACAGTACGATTATTTTAGTTATAAAAACTCTCCATAGATGGCGCTATCCCTTTGTAAATCGCGCAACCAATTGATTCTCTTCGGAATCACAAGTTAAATATTATGTTATAGAAATAAATGTTCTGATCTCATCAATGAATGTTGGTGTTTTATTCAAGCGCCCTCTAGTGTCGAGTAGCAGAACTAGAAGAGACAAGATCCTTCTAGAAATTTCGGGACCGATATGTACTCGAACATTCTACATGTTTCTACAATAGAAGGTTCTGGAAACTATCTGAGGCCCTATATAAGTCCGGTATAGACCACGACCGAGGAGTATTGAAATCGCAACTGGCAATGTGAGTTTATTTCATTATGATGTATTGGTTTCTTTTGTTCTTGTGACAAGATTGGCATAATTTTAAATATGTCAAATTAGCCCCAAATGTTATATTTTTTTATAGGATAAGGGTGACAAACGAGCACACAGTCCACCTGATGGCAAGTGGTTGCTGCGGCCCATAGATATCTACATCTATCCTCTATTACAAATCAAAATGTAGATGCGTTGTCACCCGTGAGGACTAAGATGGAATGCCTCATTTCCAGTAAAAAGGGCCTCCGGCCACCTGCATTCACCAAGCGAAACGCAGAGGTAAACCTCTACTTCACGCTGGTTTTCTGTGAGGTCGTGGTACCACCCCGGTTCGAGCCGGCCCATCCGTGGGACAGTAAAAGTTGCTGCGTGGCTCTACCACTGTTAAAAAGTCTGTATATTAAATAAGTCGTTGTAACAAATATAATATCTGATTTCTCGTTTTTCTTCCTTCATTTGTGCAGTTATCTTTTCTTCGCCGCCTGATGTTATAATATCAAGACGTGCTATACGTCTATAATGTAAAGCTTTTTTTCATGTTCTTAGCAGCCTTTTCTTCCTCTAAATACTGCGTATTTGTCACAAATATCGAGATAAAAGTTATAGTCTTTTTTAATTGTTACGAGCTCGTCAATTATTTCATAAAATCTTTTTTTATACTCATTTTGTCACATTCACGTTTAGACAGTAAAACAAAGAGAAACTGAATTTACGAAAGAACGACCGACTGTCGTGAGTGGATAGAGGTGACACGGGTAGCAGGAAGGGCTGCAAACTGTTCGCGATGGCGCTGATTTTTTACTGTCTATGCCACACAGTACGCCCCATATAACTCTTTTCATTTAATAACTGAAATAAAATTAAATCATGTTATTTTTTCGCTGTAAATATTTTTAATTTAAACTGACAAACTTAAAATATATCAATTATAAACTTAGAAGCTGTAATTATATCGAATTATAAATAATAAAACCAAATCCGAAATAACTTTTTTAAAGAATGGGAATGGCAAACGAGAGCACAGTCTACCTGATGGTAATTGGATGCTGTGACCCATAGGTATCTACACCTATCCTCGATTAAGAATCAAAATACAGATTCGGTTTACCCCTGAAGGCTAAGATGGAGAGCGCTACTGAAATGCCGTAGGTGTGATGAACTTGACCCTTTTTATTGGAAACGAGTTAGTCCATCTTAGTCCTCAGGAATGACAATGCTTCAGCATTTTTATTCTTATAGATAGATGTAGATGTCTATGGACCGCAGCATTAATTTACCATCAGGTAGACTTGGTCGTTTGTCACCCTTATTTTATAATAAGAGTTACATAACAGTAAACGCTGACGTTATTTCAATTTGACTACAGATCCCTATAATAACAAAAACTAGGCGGTAGACACAATTATGTCAGTATTTTCAAGATCCCCTGCCCTAATTCAACGCTGAAGTAACAAATTTTCTCGCGTCTTCGAAACCTTATTCAATTTTCAAAAAGTAATTTGTTTCATCAAATTCAAATTCAAATTAATAATATTTCAGATAATATAAGATCCATATCATTAAAAAACATTGATTCATTGATAATAAAAATAATAATATGTCATTAAAATACAATTAAAATACATTGAAATACAAATAAAATACATTAGAATTAGAATACAATAAATACAAATTACACATAATTATTAATAATATCCTCTCGCTTCCACAATTACTGAGACATGTATGTCGCAGCAATGCCGGAGGAGAAGACAGTCCAATCTCTCACCTATCATTTTGAGGATAATATTGGAGCTGGCCCGCACTCTGCGCACCAGTGACGCACACCGCTTACGCATGTTCGCATGAAAGCAGGCAATGCGCGCCTCCGCAAACATGCCAGAGGCACTGCAGAAGCGGGGCAGCCCTAAGATCACCCTAAAAGCATTATTGTACAGGATGCGGAGATCATTGTAACTTCGCTTATTATAGTCTGCCCACAGGCTGGATGTATAGAGTGATGTACAATAAGATCTAAATAGAGTAATTTTTACCTCCTGTGAGCATCGCGCAAATCTACGGGCTATCATATTAGCTCTAATGGACAACGCTCTCCGCTCCCGCTCAATATCCGCATTGTCCTTGAGGTCATTAGTGATTAGATGTCCCAGGTACTTAAATTGATTGACAACCTCTAGGGGCACACTATTCAATTATACTGGTGGTAAATCCTGGGGACACTTGGTACCTGCCTTAAAGACCATGCATTTACTTTTCTTTACATTGTACTTTAGACCGTGTCCACTCGCATACTCCTCACAAATACGTATCAGTTTCCTTAGGCCACATATCAACGCACTCAGCAAAACCGTGTCGTCAGCGTAACTCAGATTGTTAACACAGACGCCGTCAATATGGCAGCTGACGGGCTGGCTGCTGAGAGCGTCGATCAAATCGTTCATATATAAATTGAAAAGTGTCGGAGATGTTAGTCCGCTTTGCCTGACTGCACATTCGAGCTGATACGGATCCATCACTGTACCCGCCCAACGCTCGATGTTAGACTGGTGTGAATACCAGTACTGGAACACGCTGATGAGTTCCTCGGGTAAGTTGATACTTTTCAGTTTATCCCATGAGCAGAACTAAATCGAAAGCCCTAGACAAGTCCAGGAAACATGCGTATACGGGCGTCTTGCGGTTTGTATAGTATTTAACGGTATGCTTAAAACACAATATTGCACTTTCTGTCGACAGTTGCGGTCTAAACCCGAACTGGCTATCATTCAGCTTTACGTGTTTAATTAACTATGCTTTAAGCAAATCGTCAAAAACTGTTGCTATGACAGTGGCAAGGGAGATAGGCCTGTACTTACTTTTGTCGGTAAGATCACCAGTTTTGTTTTTCACTACAGGTACTACAACTGTCCTCATAAAATCGGCTGGCACGTAAGAATGGCTCACGCACAGCGAATAGAACATCGCCAATACCCTCGTGACATGTGGCCCGGCGTACTGCAGGTGGTCAATACTAAGGCCAGGTTCTTTAGGGACAGTGTGTGTTAATAATATGACAAGCAGTAATACTTTATTTTCTTTACCTACACTCTATGATAGTACCATAACAAAGCAGATTTAAAAAGTGATTCATATAATGAAAAAAATAATATAATTATGTATAGTTATGACATAGGCAAAAACTTGGGTATATCATTGAATAACTGTTTAAAAAGGCAACAAATAAGTAATTACTGCATGCCTGGAGCATCATTCAGTGATATTATGAATAAAATTTTAACTAGTAAATTTAACCCTAATAGTATATTAATAATTTTTGTTGGGAGAAGAGGCAATATGGACAAGAATCAATTATTAAAATATATTGAATATCTCAATAACATAAATGTGGTTAAAGTTATCTTGTTTACATTGCCTTACATAGAGGGGTGGCCACAGGAAAATAAACTAAGACATAATTTAAATTTAATGATGCATAACTTGACATGTAACAATAACTTAAATTTGACATTTAATTGTCAGAATAATAATGATAAATTTCATTTAATTGATATTAATAATTTAATAAGAAGTTTTTGACAAGAGATAGGTATTACCTATCAAAGTATAGTTTAAGACTGGTAGCAAATACGCTATCTTATTATTTATATTTTAACTCAGCCAATGATTTGGCTACCTTGACACCTGCTTCTTTTGAGCAACAAAATAATTTTACATTTGATTTGGAACCAGTTCCAAGTAATTTAAATTAGATAATATGACAATAGAGGTAATCTCTAGCAAAGATAATTTAAATAGCTTAGAATGCAACTTACCAATAAATAATTATGCAATTTTACAAAATAACAATAATAAAAACTGTATCAACCTGGTGCATCAAAATATACAAGGTATGTTAGGCAAAGAATTAGAAATTGAATTATTTTTAAATAGTAACAGTATACATATTTTATGTGTTACAGAACATTGGTTGAAAGAATACAACTCCATATTTAATTTCAGTAATCACCAGGTGGTCAGTTCGTTCAATAGAGATACTAAATTACGTGGTGGCTCCTTAATATTAGCTAATAAGTCCTTATCATGTAAAGAACGTAAAGACATTGTGAGCCTCTCTGTTGAGCGTACTGTAGAAATGGCATGTGTTGAGCTCGAGCACGTTATTGTTGTCAGTGTTTACAGACCCCCATGTTCAAGTTATGATACTTTTGAAAAAA